TTGTTTCCAATTCTTGTTTTTTTTTTTTTTTTAAATAATTATTTTATTTAAATATATTTATTTATTTTAGTTTGACCAGAGACAGAGAGAGAGTGAGTGAGAGAGAGAGAGAGAGAGAGAGAAAGTCAGAAATCAAGTAAGCCACCAGGTCCAGGACTTAAACCTGTCAGGCATGTGAGAGTCCAACACCCTTAACCACCATACCACCAGCAGACTCACTCAATTCATTTTAAAAAAAAAATTTTTATGACAAATTTTTGCTATAGGGCATGTGCACTCACTGGAGAGACAGAGAGAGAGAGATAGAAAGTGAGAAATAATCCCCTAGGAGGGATGTTCATGCCGCAATCCAGTCTCCTCCAGTCTCCTCTTGGGATCTTGGACATACACACACATGTGCCCAGTGTAGATTTTAAGCCACTGGGCCCAGGACTTGAACTGTAGTCAACTACACAGGAGTCCAACAACATAACCATTAGCCATGTGTTGGTCTCCCAATCCATAATTCTAAAGCAAGTCTATATTACTCTAAGATCTTCCACTGCCAGATTCACTTCTGTTCTTAACCTTTTTTTAAAAGAATTATTTTATTTAACTTTACTTACCTCAATTTGACCAGAGAAGAAGAGAGAGAAAGTGAGAAAGCAAGCCGCCAGGCCCGGGACTCGAACTGCAGTCAGTCATGTGGGAGTCCAGTGCCCTAAACCACCATGCCACCTGCTGGCCCTTGTTCTTACCTTTTTATCCCTCTGACAAGCAGAGAAGCCCATGGCTGATGCATAGAGAGGCACCAGCCACCATCAAAGCCTTCCTGAAATTCTTGATCCTGGATTCGCAAGTGGTGCTGATACGAGTTAAATCCTGATGGATGGAAAGTCTTCTTCTGTGAGGATGCACCTGTGTGGTCTACCCACTGTACCAGGAAAAAAAAAAAATCAACAAACAGTTCTGTTTGACAAGGGAAGAGCCTGCAATGGGTGAACAAAATGAGATGAATGCTAATAACAAAGAAACTGTATTGGGGCCATTTTTCTTAGAAACACATATCCTTTTTTTGAAGCAAAATCAAAATGGGTGGAGACGGTATAGATTCAGTAGGGGTCCCAGATACGGTAACAAGGTCCCATCTTTATAAATAATTAGAATGCTGAAATCTCTGCATAATGCTTCCTAGTTCTAGCAATAGCAGTACTCTTGAATCAAAAGAGCTGTAAGTATTTCCACTTTGTACTTACTAATAGCCCATATTGAATTCTAGATAATTTTCCAATATAATTCCATCAGCCAGATGAAAGGTCAACATTTCATCCACAATTCTACATGAGTTTAGTCACGTGCTAGCACCGTAACAAGTCAAACAAATGCTGATGGGGAGCAGTTCTGACTGCCGGATGCATGGAATTCCTAGCCTAACGTGAACAACGTGTCTCTTCAGAGAACGATGGACCACTACTGAAACGAGGATCCTACCATGCGAAAGGAATTCACACTGGTGAATCATAGGGTACAGGTAATTACAGGAGACGGAAGCATCTTGGCAATAGTTCAGTCAGAAAATGATGAAAGTTAATGTTTCTTCCAGAGCAAGAAGAGCAAGTGTTTCAAAATTTAAAAAGGAAAGCAATTAGGATGGTGAGGCTTGGGGTTAGTTGCCTTAATTTTTTTTTTTTTTTTTTAAAGAAAGAGTTTTGCTATAGGGAGCGTGTGCTCGCCAGAAAGACAGAGACAGGCAGACAGAAAAGTGAGAGATCATCTCCCAGGGGGATGGCCACGCCACAGTGCTGTCTCCTCCATTATCCTCCTGGGATTTTGGGCACGAACACACATGTGCCGGCATAAGTTTTTCTGTTCATTTTTTAGAGAGATTTTTGCAATAGGGCATATGTGCTCACTGGAGAGACAGAGACAAAGAGATGGAAAGTGAGAAATCACTCCCAGCAGGGATTACCATGTCACAATCCCTTCTCCATTCTCCTCTAGGGATTTTGGGTGTACACGCACACATGCCTGGAGTGAGTTTTAAGCCTTTGGGTCAAGGACTCGAATCGTGGTTGGCCATGTGGGAGTCCAGTGCTTTAACCTTTTCACCACCTGCTGCCTCCCTTCCTCCCCCCTTTTTTTAAGTTTGCTAGAGGGCACATAGGCTCTCCTAATGGTCATGCCACAATCCCTTCTCCATTTCTGTCCTTTTGAGATTTGGCCATGCATGAACATATGCCCAACATATGTCTATTACAAAATTGCAGTTGATCACATGCAGATCCAGTTGCCTTAGCCACCATGCCATGGGGCTAGCACTCTATCAATTATTAAATTAAAAATAAATATATAAGGCCATGGGTCAGCAGCTGGTATGGAGGTTGAGGCAACTGGATCCCACATGGCCAACTTCATGGTTCCAGTCCGGGACCCAGTGGCTTGAAATTCACACTGGGCACAAGTACTTACATGCCCAAAATCCCAAGAGGAGAATACAGGGGAAGGAACTGCAGCATGGCCATCTCCCATAAGGATGATTTCTCACTTTCCTTCTCTCTGTCTTTCTCTGTCTCTCTCTGGCCAGCATACTTACGCTATGGCGAAAAACTTTTTTTTAAATATTTTATTTAACTTTATTTATTTATTTGTTTTGATTTGACCAGAGAGGGACAGAGTGAGAGAGCGAGAGCAAGAGAGAGAATGAGAAAGCAAGCCGCCAGGTCCGAGACTCAAACCGTGGTTGGCCATGTGGGAGTCCAGCATCCTTAACCACCACACCACCTGCTGGTCCTGACAAAAACCTTTTTAAAAAAAGTTTCTTGGGGCTGGCAAGTGGCGTGATGGTTAAAGGCGCTAGATTCCCATATGGCTGACCATGGTTCAGGTCCTGGACCTGGTGGCTTGCTTTCGTGCTTTCCCTTTGTCTCTCTCTCTCTCTCTCTGTCTCTGATCAAATGAAATAATGATAATAATAATAACAAATGGAAATAAATAAATAATCCTTTTTAAAAAAAAGTTTCTTGTTGAAAGTACTCTGTAGAAAAGTATTTTCACATGAGGTGATAGCAAAAGGTGAAAAAAAATGACTTCTTTATCCCTTTTGAATTCCCCAGTACCTAGCACAGAAGTTAACACATGTATAGTACTAAATGAATGTATTCCAGTTAAGCTCTCTAAAGCATTATCCTTACTATATAATCTCTATGCCAAGGACCTTCTATAGTAGGGCTAGAAGATGGCATAGTGGTTATAGCACTTCACTCCCACATAGCTGACCACAGTTTGAGTCCTGGACCTGGTGGCTTGGAAGTCATGCTGGACACATATATTCATGGGCCCAAAATCCCAGGAGGAGAAAGGAGGAGAAACGACTGCGGTGTGGCCATGACCCCTGGGGAGTGACTTTTCACTTTCCCTCTCACTGTCTCTCTCTGGCGAGCATACTCACCCTATAACAACATGAAGAAAAAAAAAAGGAGCCTTTTAAAGTTCACATTTATTTACAAAGTGAAAAATGTTAAAACTTCCTGAATATTAATTTACTTTTTTTTTTTGAGAGAGGTTTTTGCTATATGGCACATGTACTCACCAGAAAGACAGAGAGAGACAGAGAGACAGAAAGCAAAAAATCACCCCCCCCCAGGGGGGATGGCCATGCCACAAACCCTTCTCCTCCATTCTCCCCTCGTGATCATGGACACACATGCACACACGCCCAGCGTGAGTTTAAGCCACCAGGTCTGGGACTTGAACTGCGGTCGACTACATGAGAGTCCAGAGACATAGCCAATATGCTAACTGCTGGTCCCCCTCATTTACTTTTTTAAAAAAATTACTTATCATTATTTTTTAGTTTGACCAGAAAGAGACAAAGACAGAGAGAGGGAAAGAAAGCAAGCTGCCAGGTCTGGGACTTGAACCATGTGGGAGTCCAGCACATTTAACCACCATGACACCTGCCACCCCCTACCTTTTATTTTTTTTAATGAGAGATTTTTGCTATAGGTAGGGTGTAGCAAAAGTGCACTCACCAGAGAGAGACGGAAAGTGAGAAATCAACCCCCCAAAGGGGATGGTCATGCTGCAGTCCCTTCTTCATTCTCCTCTCAGGATCTTGGGCACACATGCCCAGTGTGTTTTAAGCTGCTGGGTCCACGACTCAAACCACGGTTGACTACATGCAAGTCCAGTGATGTAACCGTTATGCTATCTGCTGGTCCCTAAATGTTAATTTACTTTTTTCCCCTAGGGTTTTGCCACAAGTTGTGTGTGCTTGCAAGAGAGAGACAGAGAGAGGGAAAGTGAGAATTCACTCCCTAGGGGGTATGGCCACACCATAATCCCTTTCCCTCCATTTCTTCTTGGAATTTTGGGCATGCATGCACACATGCCTGGCTGCCAGGCCAGGACTTGAACCATGATCAGTCATGCAGGAGTCCAGTGCCTTAACTAACACATCACTTGCTGGCCCACCTGAACATTAAGGTCCTAATGACCTAATCCTATCCTATTTCTCATGATAACCCATTTTATGGTCCTATCTACATGTACAGTACTCACCATTACCTATATGTACTCCATGCTCGTGTACACCTACTTCTGTTCCTATTATTCATTCTGCCTGGAATTTCTTCTTTTTCTTTTTTTAGTTTTGGCTATGGGATGTATGTGCTCACAGGAAAGAGACAGACTGGAGGGAAAGTGAGGAATCCACCCCCGCACACACCTGCAGCCACAAATCCCTTCTCCTCCACTCTCCTCCTGGAATCTTGGGCATGCATACACATGCACCTGGCATGAGGTTTCAAGCCACTGGGTCTGGGACTTGAACTGTGGTCAGTCATGTGGGAGTCCAGCAATGTAACTGCTACACCATCTGCTGGCCCTGTCTTCATTCATTTTAATATTAAGTACATAGAACATTACCATGAATAGGCACCAAGTGATTACCCAAAAACTGACTCTGTCCTGAAGAACTCACAGAAGGGGGAAGATTTGCCTAAGTAGCTCTAATCAATAGAATATAAAGAACTCACTATGGAAACCCAGAGGAAGGAGAGACCACTTCCAGCTGAGAGGACTCAAAGATGATTTCCCAGGGAAGCTGGCATTCATTAAAGCCAGTAGGTGGCATGGTGGTTATGGTGCTGGACTCCCACATGGCCAACTGTGGTTCACATCCTGGACCTAGTGGCTGAAAATCATGCTAGGCACATGTATGTGCATGTCCAAAATCCTAAAAGGAGAATGTAGAAGGGACTGAGCATGGCCATCCCCCCAGGGGTGATTTCTCGCTTTCCCTTTCCCTGTCTCTGTCTCTCTGGCATGTGCCCTATGGCAAAAAACTCAAAAAAACAAAACAAACAAATTGAAAATCATGCTGGGCATATGTGCATGTGTGTCTCAACATCCCAAGAGGAGAACTGGACTGTGGTGTGGCCATCCCTCTGGCGGGGGGTGATTTCTCACTTTTCTTCTCAGTGTCTCTCTCTCTCCTCAGTGAGTACATGCACCCTAAGGCAAAAACCTCCTTAAAAAAATGACGACAATGAATGAGTGAATTATTAATAATAAATTAATTTAAAACACTACTCTATAGGACTATCCAAATGTAAAAGGTAAAGAGAGAGCGGCATGGTAGTTGGGATGCTGGACTCCCACATGGCTGACTATGGTTCGAGTCCCGGACCCAATGGATTGCTTTTTCACTTTTCCTTTCCCTCTCTCTCTGTCTCTCTGGTCAAGTTAAAAAGTAATAATAGTAAGAACCAGCAGTTGGCATAACGGCTATGTCGCTGTACTCCCATGTGGTTGACCGCTGTTCGAGTCCTGGAGCCAGTGGCTTAAACTCATGGCAGGCGTGTGTGCATGTGTGCCCAAGATCCCAAGAGGAGAATGGAGGAGAAGGAATTGTGGTGTGGCCATCCCCCTCGGGGGGTGATTTCTTGCTTCCTGTCTCTCTGTCTCTCTCTGTTTCTGGCAAGCATACGTGCCCTACAGCAAAAACCTCTCAAAAGAAAAGTAATAATAATACATAAAATAAAATAAATACTTGGGGAAAAAAAACAAAAGCAAAGTTGCAGGAAAAAAGGTAAAGAAAGAACCTTAACAAAATGATCATGGGATTAAAACAACCTTCTCTTGGGAAACACTCAGAACATACAACTTGTCAGAAGTGCTGCAGTAAAAAGAAAATTGGAAAAAATTGGGCCAAGAATAAGATTGAAATAAAGTGACTTGAGAAAGTGGATTAGTATCAAATGCCCATAAAACACACATACTTGATGAGAGAAATATCTGGGGCCAAACTTCCCTCATTATCAGAACAAAGATTCACTAACCTGAGGAGGAGGCTGGTACAGGTTGGGGTTTACCAGAACTCCCAAAGGCTCTTCAGAAGATCTATCCAATTTGGTCAGTGGTTGGTTCAAGGTTCCATTGGCAATGGCCTGTATTGTCTCATCTAGTCTGTGATAATAAACCAAAAGCATGCAATGACTGGGAATGTTCTATCTTCAGAATGTCCTTACTTACCACCAACATAAAACCCTTCAAAAGTAATAATAACTTGGAATCTGAAGAAGAGTCCTTGAACAATCTTCTCTATTTCCCACCCCAACTTTCTTCTTTTCATACCAAAAACCCTAAGGATTATAAATGACTCAAAACTTCAGAACAAAAAAGTAGGTAGGGCATACTACAATCATTCATCTGTTTAACAAGATCATTAAAGATGCTAAAACTTAAAAAGTTTTCTAGAGGGGACCAGCAGTTGGCATAATGGCTATGTCACTGGATCCCATGTAGTCAACCGCAGTTCAAGTCCTGAACCCAGTGGCTTAAACTCACGCCAGGCACGTGTGTGTGCGTGCCCGAGATCCCGAGAAGAGAATGGAGGAGAAGGGATTGTGGCACAGCCATCCTTCCCAGGGGAATGATTTTGCACTTTCTGTCTCTGTCTCTCTCTGTCTTTCTGGTGAGTGCACACACCCTACAGCAAGAACCTCTCCAAAAAAAAAAAGTTGTCTAGAGAAGAGACCTTAATCACAGAAGAATACTCCATGGCAGTTTGTCTACTCAACACACCCTCCACAGTTATTCCTATGGCGATGCAGGAATCCCTTTTCTCCATGCTGATCTGAATTCTATCCTTGCTTCAAAACTCAGAAGTTTTAAAGAGATCCCCAACTGGCCCAGCACACAGTGCTTACTGCTTTCTCTGAAATCCTACAGCACCTACTACATCTAAACAACCACTAGGTATATCCCATTATGCTTTGCGCTTATGAAACTGCTTTAGGTATTTGGATCTAAACCTATAAAATAATGTGATGACCTTCACTAAAAGACTGTAAAATCCTACTGGTCATTAAGTGATCACAGGCCATGCAGGAACCCTCAATGAGTCTGTCCTACAGCTCTGTGTGACCTGCTGCTGTATGCATGCCCTGGCGGGGGCGGGGAGGGGTGCTTGAAACATTTGTGGATGATGATGTTAACTTTGAGACACAATACAGTAAAAGTATCAACCAACACAAGAGGCTGAGGTCAATTTTAGATATATTTGTTAGGAACCTCATCTGTACAAGACAACTTAAAAGGTATGGGGAGCATGGTTCTGCCTTCAAGATGCTTTCAATCTAAGTGGCAGTTTTAAGATAGCTAATCAGATGATGAATCCTATGTGACAGAATGTAATAATTTCCATTAGATAAGCACAACCCATCTCATGATTATTATTATTATCCTGTGTGTTGTACCAAATGGGTTTAAGGGCGAGGTAGATATCTGATAGGCAAAGACCAGAGAGAAATATCCAAATCAAGGAAAAAGCAGAGATGAAGGTAGTAAGCTTTAAAAAAAAGTGCAAGAATTTGAGAGATAAAGTAAGTCTAAAATAGGGTAGGGACAGCGGGATCTGAAGGAGGGAAACAGATTTCATATACAGTACAGTAGTAAATATATCCCGAACCATATTAAAAAAAAAGCTTAGTACATTTTTAGAACTCTCAAACTTACTAGCATACGACCAAAGAAAAGAGTGAATAAAAATGATAAAGAACTGCAATGCAATCAAGAACCTCTCCCAATTTTTTTTTTTTTTTGTCAGAGGGAATGTGTGTTAGCCAGAGAGAGAGAGAGAGAGAGGGAGAGAGAGGGAGAGAAAGGGGGAAAGTCCCCCCGCCCCCAATGGGACGTGGTCATGCCTTCTCCATTTCTCCACCTTGTCAGGATTTTAGGCACACATGCACATGTGCCAAGTGTGTCTTTCTTTCTTTCTTTTTTTTTTTTTTTTTGAGAGGTTTTTGCTATAGGGCGTGTGCGCTTGCCAGAAAGACAGAGAAAGAAAGATAGAAAGCGAGAAGTCACCACCCGGGAGGGTGGCGGGGGAAGATGGCCATGCTTCAATCCTTTCTCCTCCGTTCTCCTCTTGGGATCTTGGGCACACACACATACACGCCTGGCATGAGTGTAAGCCACCAGGTCCGAGACTCGAACTATGGTCGACTACATGGGAGTCCAGCGAAATAGCCATTACGCTAACTGCTGGTCCCACCAAGTGTGGCTTTCTCTCTTCCTTTCTTTTTTAGGTTTTTGCCACTGGACGTGTGCACTTACCAGAAACAGAGACAGCTAGGGAGGGAAACAGG